ACCACAGAGACACATCCCTGAGTTACTCCTTCCTTTTTTAAGTGGGAATATAAAACAGTAGATAGAGTTGCATGTGAGTTCGATGATCAGGAACTCATTTGGCTGATTTTTTGTTTTTTTAGGGACTCAAATGTGGTATTGAGAACTGGTATTGTGGAATTCCTACTTTTGAGAGACTAGAAATAAGGTTAAGTGACATTTAAAGAGAAGTATAATAATCTAGGTAATATATAAAAGAGTACATCATGAACAAAGGTGTGATTTGACCCTTAGCAACACTGTCCTTTTACTCTGCCTTTATTTTGACTCATCACATACTTCCTTCTTGATGCATGAGCCATAAAACAAATGAGCAATTCTCGAGCTAATTTATTAAAAATGCTTAACTACAGACATTCCTAACTGCAGATTCTTGAGTGCTAGTCACCCAAATCCTTCAATTCCGACTCTTTCCACCTAACATCACTGCACCCTGCAGCGTGAAAGTTGAAGGTTTTACTGGAAGTGCTGAATAAGGCCTCCTGTGTAGGTGCCTCTTCTCTATTTATCTCTGACTTTCATGCAGCTGCCTACTTTGGATTTTGATCAATTAGGACGCAGCTTCCTGATTTGCACAATCTTTAGTTATTGCAGACAAAGCCGAATGAAAAGACAATTACTCACTGGCAATAAAAAGTGCCTATTCTTTGGAATCTGTTGACTGGTGCCGGATGTAAGGTGTGTCAGGCTGAGTCAGGTGTACTTTGAGGAGTAGAGACTTGCCTAGGTTCATCAAGATAAGCATTGTTTTATTGCCAGTGTGTTTCAAATAGGACTGGAAGTTGACCTTAAATGGGTTCATAGGGGGGTTTTTTTCCACTCAAACACTGTCTCAACTGTTACTAGCGCGTGTCTTGTTTTCATGGATATAAAGATTTTGCCCTTTCTAAGTGCAGAAATGCCACCGTAGTCGACTCTGCAAAAGCACATGCTTCTTTGGCAATGCTCAATTTGTGCAGAGTGTGAAATTTGAGGAGTTATAATCCTCACAACTTTCCCCAGTACTGACCCACATATGTAGTTCTCCATTGGATTAACCTACAACCATACAGTTAGCTGAGCAACACCTCAGGGTTTAACGTTTAGCCCAGCAGTGCCAGCATTTCTTTAAAAATGTTTTTCGATGATTTTTAGAGCCTTGTAGCTGCAAAGCCTTGTTAAAGAGGAAATGGGTAAGAAAAGGAATCACTAAATCAGCCATTTGCCACGCTCGCCTCTTCAAAATTGGCATCTGCCCTTGAAAACCCATCTCATCTGACCTCTAGGGCTCCAACACATAAAACAGTAGCCAACCACTTATGGCATGAAAGCCCTCACAAGTAAAGTGTACGCTTCCTTCTCAGCAAAATGGTGGAGAAACAAAGAACACTAGTGTCTCATACAAGAAAAAAAGTGACATGCAGAATTTCTCATAGTTGAATTGAACAAACCAGGACAAAAAATCTCATATTAGAGTTAGATTTGACAGCTGTTTCTGCTGAAACTCTGTGTTGGCTAATGTAAGATATATAATGTTTAGTATGTCAAAAGCTTTTAGCATATTCAGTTTTGTTGCTCTCAAGTGTCTTGCACTGTTTTTGGTCCCTGTTGGTCAACAATCATCTATTATCAAACTTTCCGATTCAAGCCAAAAGTGGTAAATTTGGTCCACAGCATGAGAAAGGACTCAGAAAACAGTCTTGATAAGAGTACTTTTAAATTAAGATGGCAGCAATCCAATGACCACAGAGCTTTTAATAACAGAGAGAATGTCTGGACAAACAGTTGCCATGGACTCCCTGAGCAGTCCCACAGAACAGGAACGACAACTGAGGAAGACGACGAGGCTGGCACACAAGGGCCTCCATTTACTGGAAGTTAGATGACAACAGGATGGTATTCAATAAACAGCAATAATGGATGCCGCTTTTAAATTTAGTCGCTGTGTCTCAAACAAATAACTTGTTTGTTCCTTGCATGGTTTGAGAACGTCAGTCAAGTGGGTAGCAAGCACGGCCTGTTTGCCTGTTCTAAAATACATCCTTTGTTCGGATTTGTTAGATACACCTACTCTACGAGATCCACTCACTGTCTACTTGCATCAACCACTCCAGAGTGCAACGCTTTCCACAGCAACGCTTTGTTACCCCCGTCGTAGTATTGCTGTTACTGCGTTATTGTGGATGTCATTATAAGAGGAAGAGCTGAAAGAACAGTGGTTTATAAACAAGCAGAACACTGCAACCCAGATGAAGTCAGAGCATCAGATTGATGTAGTCTCATCAAACACTTGTGCATGGGTTAAGGATTACAAGCAACAAATAAAACAGGGAAAAAAAACTTCAGCAGATTTCCTCACTCCTTCCCACACGGAAAAACAAATTTCATAACTGAAGGTGTGTGGCTCCTGGCAGTTTTCCTCACACCACTTATTCATTTGTTTTCTAAATTTAAACCATTTTAAAACATTCTGGTTAAGATTCACAACATGCAGCTGCAGCTCTGAATATATAGCGGGGTGTGCACCCATGCTTATATTTTCCTTTTGGAGGCATAATATTCTAAACGCATATGGTAGCTTAACAGACCACACCCTTCGTCTAGTGAAATCATAGGAGGGGCATTACCACCTTGGCTGTATTTAGTTGTCTACTGACCTCAGATGTAATCCATAATGACAGGACCCAGCCCAGGACAATCCTATCATTGCACCTCCTGATAATCACTTAATATATGCCTCCGGGATTAAGCAGGAGATCAAACCAGGCTCCTAGAATCTTTGCCCTGCACGAAATTTTAAGTTAGACGTGGATACCAGTCGCAGGCCTGCATGTGGCTCCATCGAGACTAACACTGTAGCTTAGGTTCGGACAATATGATAGTAATAAGGAATACAGTGGTATTTAGAAATCCCAGTATGATCAGTCAAAAGATATAATAACCTAACGTGTAAGTTCATTATGTAGTGTATTGTGGTGCAAAACACGTGGCATTAGGTGGAGGAGGGAGGTAGTCAAACTAGAAAAGACAGAAAACACTTGCGGAGATACAGGCCTCCCATCTTGGAGTGTTCACCAGAATGCATGCGGTTCACCAGATGTGAACCAACGCGAACAAAGCTTTGTGCGCAATTTGCTACGATAAAGTTGTGTCAAAAACAGGTTACGCATCAAAGCCCTACTGACCAGGGTGCCCTATAAATACCCCCAGTAGTTTACATAAGTGCAGCATTTGAATGAACAGCCTGCACAGCAGGGATACAGTTACCCGACGAAAACCAAAATGATAGCTCAAAAGCTCATTAACTGGGTCCACTCAACCTGTATGCGCTTAACTAAAGGAGCTACTTTTTGGCAAGTTTATACTTAGGATTTAATTAGGTTAAATTATTCAGCGCTTTTTTGTAAAAGCTTATTTATCATTCATGTTCTGCCAAACTCTGACAAAAGTGCTTTAGCTAAACGTTATTAAAACAGACAAAGAATTATTTGGCACTAGGAATGACTGACTTTATCTGTATCCCACATGTCAAGATGGGACAAAAGCATTTAATCCCAGTAACACATGCCCAAGCGATGGGTATTAAATGGCACTGCATGCTGCTACAATGTCATACATGTGTAATAACGACTTCTCTTTTCTATTTTCTATACACAAAACAACCTGGTGAAATGCTGGTAAAATATTGAGGTATAAAAAAGCAGATAACACCCGAGCCTACAGCAGAACTGCAACCCATCTTAAATCTGCACCATTTCCTGCAAAATCCATTAAAGTCAGTTTAGTACAAAAATAGGAAGAAACCGAATTGAAACAGTTTCTCTTGAAAGCAGGCAGTCACTAGTTGAAGCTCTAAATATCCCAGCATCCCTCTTCATAAAGCACAATCTTATTACAAATCCGATACCCAACCACGACCAGAGAAATAATCACAAACAGCTGACAAACAGCCCTGGAGGACGCATCTTTCATAAAGGCTCATCTCCTTATGCTAAATTTACCAGGCAGAAGAAAGGATTTCCCAACAGGTTCACTGAGGAGGCTTCCTGTCAACTTATGAATAATTCACGTATGTCTGATTCTTAATAAACATTAACCTAAAGATAGCAACCACTTTAACAACAGCAAAAGTCAGCAGCGGACTGATAAATCGCATTTCCTGCTTTCTTATGTGAATGTGAAACTTTGAGGTTACATGTGCCAAGAGGAATCAATGTATTATGCATTAAGTTTCACTGCCTCATTTAGACATTAAATATGCATAGTGCAGAGAGAAATTTAATTTCATGTGGGGAAAAAGTCACATTAAGCCGCCCAAGAATGTGGTTAGCGAGTTTAAAAGGGAGGGCAGCGAGCCAGGTCCAAAACATCCAACTCAGGTGATTGCTGGGTTTGGGGTAGGAACTCCTAGAATTCCAGACTGCTTATTTTGAGCTAATTTGAGTCAGCTGTCGAAATCATTCCGGGCAGCTGGGCAAGTATTAACATATTTTCTGCAATATAATAAGAAATCCACAAGCAAATCCTTGCCGTCACAACCATCCCGTAAAAAAAACGCAGTTGTAAAAACCATTTCAAATGCCATCAGAATATCTTAACCTCAGGTCAAACAGATTTGACCGTTTCTAAATTGAAACTATTTTATAAAGGAGCGTGTATGTGTGTGGAGCGAGAGCACAGCTGGAGAAAAGAGGAGGTGAAATACTCAGTTCTTAGTACCGCAGAAACTACTCTGGAATTTCCACACAGGTCTGACAGACAGCTGGTCCATCTGTTCCTGCCCTCAGTTCTCCCAAAGAAGAAAAATGACTGGAATCAGGAACTTCACCCGTCTCTTAGAGGACTCCCTTACCTCATTGTTCCACACAGTGGGGACATGACTGAATAAACTCTTGCTGCATAAAACTTTCCTCACGCTGATGCTTGCCAGTTTCAGAGGTTCACACACGTTTCACATAGATCTATTGAATAAAGACACTCACCAGTTTCCTCGTCAATGGAAAATATCCCCAGGCCGGACCCGTCTCGTATGGAGTATCGAATCTCTCCATCCCGTCCTCTGTCTTCATCTTCAGCTGTTACAGTCATCACAGAAGTCCCAACAAGAGCATCCTCTTTTATAAATCCCTTTTCCACAAATGATCGGAACAACGGCCTGTAGAGATTCTCATTCACGTCCACCACGTCCACCTCAATGAAGCAGGTTGATGACAAAGATATGGGCTTCCCTTTGTCTTTAGCTTTTGCTGTCAGATTATACACCTGTTTTGTCTCGTAATCTAGATTCTGAACGATCCGCAGAGCACCGCTGAGTTTGTCCACCTCGAAGTTGCCGTCTCCGTTGTCAATGAGGCTGTATCGTACCTGACTGGAAGGCCCGATATCGGGGTCGTGAGCCTCCAGCCACATAATTACAGTACCGATAGGGAGGTCTTCTCTCACTTTGACGCGGTAATTGGGGGGCACAAATTTAGGTGGGTTATCATTCACGTCTTCCAAGGTGATTTTAAGTGGAACTGTGGACACCAGCTGAGGCTCGTTCGCCGCCTGGTCACGCGCTGCGATTTTCAAGACGTGAAATGGATGGAGTTCACGATCCAGCGGCTTTGTCACAGTCACTACGCCGGTTATCTCGTTGATGGCAAAATGATCTGTGCCTCCCAAAATGGAATACTTGACGTTTCCATTGTCGCCTTGATCCCTGTCTGTTGAATCCACCTGGATAATTTCCGTCCCGACAGGTGTGCTCTCGCTTATTTCAACTGAATAAGAGTCTTGCAAAAATTGAGGGCTGTTGTCATTAGCGTCTAAAATTTTAACATCCAAAAGACGTGACGAGGATTTCTGTGGAATCCCAAGATCGTAAACTGTAATGTTGAGGGTGTAATGGTCGGTGGTTTCCCGGTCAAGAGGAGAGTAAATCAAAAGCCAACCGGTTTCCATATCTACAATAAAGCGGCTTTCTGCGTCTCCTCCTGAGATAACATACACGAGTTTCCCATTGAAGCCACTATCTGAGTCTGTGGCACTTAAATGGACAATCCGGGCCCCAACAGGGAGGTCCTCTTTAACTTCAATAACACTTGGGAAAGACTCTGCAAACTGAGGAGTGTAACGGTTGACTGAGTGAATGTCCATAAAGTTGTCATCTGGCTCAGTTTGCGTGTGGATTTTGCTGCCTTGAAGTAGCTTCTCAGCCAACATGGTAGCGACGCCGGTTTCAACACATTTTAACTGGACCGGCTTGCGTGCCGTGATGACAGTTATGTTCATGATCATCGGCCGGGTCTCGTGTTCGCCGTCAGTTGCGATGATTTGCAAACTATGAAAGGACACTTTAGCTGCCTCTCCCTCACTCAGCGTATGCTTCAGCGAGAGCATGCCAGAGTTCGGGTTCAGTTCAAACAGATCAAGATCGTTTCCAGCTTTAATGTAGTACCGCACTAGCTGTAGTTCGTCCGCGTCTATGGCGGATGTTGTTGTTATCTGCTCTCCCACGCCGTGATCTCTCGGCACAGTCACTTCACAGTCTACATTTTCAAATAAGGGCTTGTTGTCATTCAGATTATTTAACGTGATGGTGACTGATGCCTCTACCTCTCTTCTGAAAGGGGATCCCCAATCTGATGCCCTGACTTTGAGATTGTAAATCCTGGGCATGAGCTCATAATCTAGGACCTCCGAGGTGCTGATGACGCCGGAGAAGTAGTCGATGACAAACGGCTGAGGAGTCAGATTGGTAATGCTGTAGGTCACATAGCCATTTTCCCCTCTGTCGAGATCAGTGGCCTTAACCGTGATCACACTGGTCCCTATAGGCACATTCTCATCAACGGTGGCCTTGTAAGATGTCTGCTGGAACTCGGGCGCATTGTTATTTACATCAATCACATCAACGACCACTTTTGTTGCCGCTTTTTTGTCGCTGGTCACCACATCTAGCTCAAACTGTGAGGAAGCATCAGCATTGATTGGTCCTGCAGTGCTGATTAAGCCAGTATCTGGATTGATGGTAAACTTGCTCTTGTCGGATTTGTGTCTAAAAGCATATTTTAGATGTGGGTACTTTGGCACAGCTGTTACCATAGTGACAGGTGTGTGAAGAGGTGCAAATTCACTCAGATTGACTCTGTAAACGGCCTGTTCAAAAATGGGAGGGCCCACTTTGAACTGTGCAGAAGCGACATGTACCAATTTAGTAGATGAAAATTGAGGGGGGCTGCCTTTGTCCTTTGCCTGTAAAGTGAGGTTATATCCAAAAGGCTGGCTGTCCCAGTCTACATCTTTCACTGCCTTGATTTTATACTCCTTGCTCCCGGGGCTGGTTCTTACAGCCTTGAACTGCTGAAGAGGGTCACCGGCCACGATGCTCAGCGACGCTATCTCTCCGTTTGGTCCCTGGTCGTTGTCCTCCACCGTCACAATGGCATAGGTGGGGTCATGGTCTGCATCAGAGGGGGCCAGGGTGACTGCAGTAATCACAGGTGCATGCTCATTGGCCTGCTCCACCCTCACTGTAAGTTTGGCCATGCTACTGAAACCGCTGCTGCCGTACAGCTTCATCCCTCTGTCGACGGCGAGGATCTCCAACTCGTACAGCTTCGTCTCAGAGAAGTCCAGTTTGCCGGTCAGCGTCACCACGCCGCTCGTTGGATGAACTGCAAACATGTCCGTCCACTCTCTGAAACTGTAGTAGTATTCTCCATTCGTACCGATATCTGCATCAGTCGCCGTGACCTTGGCCACGCTCGAGCGTATGGCCGTGTTTTCTGGCAGAGAGATGCTGTAGGATGTTGGCGAGAAGAGAGGCCTCAGATCATTGGTGTCCAGTACCTGCACCTTCACTCTAGTGCGACACTCTAAATTGGTGCCCCTCTCTGAAGCTTTAACAGTCAGAATGTAGTGGTCTTTAACCTCCCGGTTCAGAATGGCAGTGCTGCCTCCTTTGGTCCTTATCCGCAAAAAACTGAAATCTCCCAGCAGGTAGTCCTCTGCTTTGAATAAGTTCTCATTGTCTCCAGAGATGATTTTGTACCGTATCTCCCACGTTGGGTCTGTGATGTAGATCCCCATCTTGGTGTGACTCTCTAAGTAAGTCTTAGCAGCAGAGTTCTCGTATATGGTGGCATTGTAAACAGAGTGGGTGAACTGCATGGAGGCATCCCTCACCATCCGTTGGTTCCCTGCGCAGCCACAGAGGAGCTGCAGCAGCAGCACAAGCAGCGGAACCAAGTGCTTCCCCATTATCGTACCGTGATCTTCACAGAACCACCTAGGGGGAGGGGGGAAAAAAAAAAAAGAAGAAATTTGAATTTTTAGTGTCAGAATCGTGCACAAACATTTATTGCAATTAACAAAATCTAAATAATAAATAAGCATTTTTGTTACTATCACTCTCAGTCCGAGCAACCTGGGAAAACAGCCAAAATGTCACGACAAGTGATGGCTGGCCTGATAAATAGATAAATAGGTTCCATGTGGAGGGGAAAAAAAAAAAAGATGAAGCAGAGCAGCCAGTAGTCAGGTGACGAGATCCAAGCCTGCATTGCTCCCATGTCTGCACAATGCCATATGCTAAGTATGGGCACTTCACAGCAGTGAAACCTCATTTCTGCAAGAATCCGCTTGAGAGAAAGCAACATATGAACAGAGAAATCTTTCATAGTTGAAGCAAAAAAATATATGTTTCCTCTTGAATGGAAATGCAATCATTCATATGTATGCTCATCCATTGGGAATTCAAACATCTTTTTAAAAATAAAAATACACCAGCTGCAATAAAAGATTACAACCAACACTGGACTTTTCATACAGTTTTAACAGCAGAAACAGCACAATACGAAAAAAAAAGAGAGAAAAAAAAAGCAGCTACCGTGGAGACTCAAACGCATTGCTGCTGCTTTTTTTTTTTTTAAATCCTCGTCGAAGTCCAATCAGGACTGCAAACCAGCGGACAGATGAGTGTGAAAGTGCTTTAAAATTGCAGATTCATTCGTTTACAGCCTCTTTACAGCGTCTCCTGCTCTGCGTGGGAGTCCGTACAAAGACAAATAAAAACCCAGAGACGCTGCTGCTGCTGCTGGAGAGCTTTCTGTATTTAAAAAAACATTATTTACCTTTGGTGTGTCTCAAATGACCCTACCCGGGTTTAGTTATTAATGTTTTATGCGGGGTTAATAAGTTACAGCACGAATCACCTCCAATCTCAAACTATAGCCTGCAGGTACAAAAGAACCATCTGCTTGTGGGCGACCATTGTAAAAAAAAAAAAAAAAAAAAAAAAAATTCAAACTTTAACTTGTGGCTCTCTTTTTACGCACACACACACACACACAGAAAGCATACATTTTATTACCCTGCAACCTCTAATTATAAAACCGTTTTCAATACGGGGGAGAAAAAAAAAGTTGAAGAAGTTTAGGTGCCTCGAGTCTATTTCATTTCTAACCCCCATCCCCCAACTAAGAGCCATTCACTTCTTGAAACGATGGCAGCCGAGCGCCGAGCACAGATTTGCTTGAGAGAGAGAAAAGAAAAAAAAAGCCACCCTGCACATTTAACCACACTAAAAACTACTTATTAAACGTGCTATGCAACATTCAACTTTCTAAACTTCTCCCTGGGTTCTTTCAAGCTTCACAATAGCAGACCTAACCTATCTCAACTTTTTTTAACAGATGCCGACGCTCACTTTGAGAGAAAAAAAAAGCCGAGGAGCAAAAAAAAAATGGCGACTCACGTACCTTTTTCTATTATTAATCTCATAGATGGGGAGGTTTTGGGTGTAGTTTGTGTAGTCCAAATGTCGGCATGGTAATTTACGTGGACTCGCTCCGTGCTCTCCCGTTAGTCCATCTGCCAGCAGCCAGCCAGCTCCTCTCCGCTTCCCCCTTCTCTCTTTCTCTCGCGCACTCCGGAGCTGCCCGGTATCTCTCCGCGTTGCGCACGTCCGGATCTACTTCTCTGGCTGGCAGCGGGATAAAAAAAAAAAAAAACCTCTGAACCCTCGACCATGATCCACTTTAATCATCACATTTTCAGCGCTGTAAGAGCTGCCACTTCACCCCCCTTTAATGCAGCCTGCTCTTTATTATAGCGCTATTATTTATCACTAAAAAAAAAACTTTCCATACATCCCACTTTTAAGACCTGCAGGAAAAAAAAACCCTCCTCCAATCCAGGCTATTTATTTACACCATGTGGGCTCATGAGAATAGGATTTTTCATGCATACGGGTGAAATTTCAAGCATTTCCTTCTGCTTTTTCCTTATCAGGATAGTGATCTAAATTGTACTAACCTACAACAATGGCCTCTGGGGGTGGGACACTAGAGATAGCCTTACAAAGGATTAAAAACCTCCTCAAATACCCAATATCCACCACTTATCCAACCTTTCTCCCCCATGACCTCCTGCAACAATATCATTTTCAATTAGATCATAATTTACTTTGCTGAAAAATGACCCCTGAATTCACATTTTTTAAAACAAAATGAATCTCGTTTTTGAAAATGAAATCGCAGTTCTCTTCTCTGATGATGATAAATAGACTAATAACACTTGCAAATGCACAGCTTCCCTCTCGTGTTGTTGCATTTTGACATCAATTCTTGGGGTGATCTTATTATTCTGTGATGTTATTGTTTTTTTCCCCTAATATCCAGGATTAGGCTGACAATAAAGTGGCCAGCAGTGCGTCCCCGGGGGTCTGGGTTTTTTGGCATTAGAGCACCGGTGACTGATTGTGGGAGTAAATTCGCCACGAAGGCGCTGATCCCATCAACCTTCCTCCTTCCTCCTCCACACAGCTACAATCCAGCCTGCTTCCTCACACCAAAAGCTGCACTACCTTCCCCTCCACAAGCTCACGGGAGTGTGGCTGCTATGCGATTGATGGCGCTGTCTCACTGCTCTTGCCCGGACTGCAGTGATCCAGCTGGTGCGCCTGCAGAAAGCCTGTGCTTGCATGCAGCTTGACAACTTGTCAACATGTCCTGCTCCTGTGTGTGTGTGTGTGTCTGTGTGGGTTGCGTGCGTAAAGCGTGCGTATTTGTGCATTTGGTTATTTTGGCACAAGTCACACGGAAACGCTCACTTTTTTTCTCTCTCTCTCCTTTGAAAGACGCTTTGAGTTGAGTCCAAAGTTTTAAAGAGTGGGTTTTTTAAAAAGAAAAACTTGAAACAAAATCTTCTGATTTTATTCAAGGCTACTCACCACACCAGCTGGACGACCGCTGGCTGTCGCTCCAAACTTCCCCTTCACATAAATCCCGGTAGTTTTGGGTAAATGTGTTTCGCGAGCATCTCTCGGATGAGGGGAGACTTCTGTTCGTGTGAATCCGCCACTTTATTCCTCTTCTTCAGTCCCTCGCAGTTTCAGAGCCGCTAGGAGTCATCACACATGGTGGTAACAGTTAAAGCTGTGGGCTGCGCTCAGCCTCGCTCCTCTCCTCCACACTGGTTCAGGTGGAGTGGCATACTGTTGCTGCCTTCAGGTGATATCGGAAATATCGCAATCCCGGCAGGAGCGCGCAAGAAGATAAAAATAGTAAAGACGCGGCAACGTCGGGATTTTCTTGCCTACTGCTCTTCTTGCCCTTCGGAAAAGTAAAGGGATTGCTGGAAGGAGGAGGGGGGCGGAGTGAGAGGAAGTCACATCAACAACTGATGGTGAAAGTGATGATTCTTAGGCTGTTTGTCAGGCAGATAAATCCCACTCAGTCTAATGAATCAATTAAAATTGAACGCTGCATATTTTCTGCTTATGATGATTTTTTTTTTGCACAAGCATTTAAAAGATATTTTGGCACAGGCTTCCGTGCTTTCATTTCTACAGCGAAAGCACTTGAAAGTCACTGGAGAGTTTAAAAGTGGGGACATAAGATCCCCTTGAAGGCACCCAGGATTTCACCATGACACCCTCAGTCTGAGAGAAGGCTCAGACGTCACGGATTCCTTTCTCATTCCGTGCATGCACAGCTCAGTGTGGGCTGTGTTTATTCTGTACACAATGTAAGCAGTCGCCTCAAAGAAGCATTTTGTTGCTTTATTTTTTATTTTTTTACAGCTCATTCTGTGTATTAGTTGTGCTCCCGTGACCTCATTGAAACCAGGCCTTACCATCCAGATTTAATGGTGATCAATGAATGCACTTCAGAGAGGCCAGTGTCTTCGTTCGGCTCCTGGAACATGTGGTTAACAACTAAACTCGACACCGTGCTGTGAAGTGGCTGCCAAAAAATGCCAGAGCAGAGAAGGGCTGCTGGAGCTCCAGCGTGAGAATCTCTGCCTAATGTCCATTCAGCACTGGCTCATTAAAGTCACATATGCCCACAGGCTGAGTAAACGAATGAGACCTATGGGCTTGGTGTGTGTGAGTGTGTGTGCATGTCCATGTGTGGGAGAGAGAGAGAGAGAGAGAGAAAGAGGGAAGGAGAGAAAGATTGAGCTTTCGTGTCAGAGTGCAACTGTGTAATGTTTCATCTCTCTCCTCTCTGCTGGTCTCTCTCTCTCAGTTTTGTCCCAGACAATGTTAAGGTATCTGAAAATGCCCTTTTCTCTCTTAGCCTCCCCTCTGATCTGCCTGTAAAGCTTTAATTGAATTCAGGTCAGGTGATGCCCAGGGCTAGTTCCACTGCTTTGATCTGCACCAAGTGTTTGCAGTCCTGGCTGGTCCTGGTCAGGTCCTAGTGCCTTATAGACCTTATGGATGTATAGCGCAGGCAACGGGAAGCTCTCCTAGCATCAGAATAACTACTTAAATCAAGTGAGATACTTATAGATAAACTGGAAAACAGTAGGCGGTAGGGAGGGTATTATTCCTCTTCATAAATGCATTTAAACTTGTTTACAAACCCAGCAGAGAAGGGTGTTATGGGTAACTGAATGTTGCTGATGGTTTGCAGCGGAGCACACCTCCTTTGACCCGCGTGTGAAACAAGTTGATTAAATCTTTCAGCTGCTGGCAGATAAGGTCAAAAAGGAGACAAAAACAAGTGAAAATATATTGCATGATAAATATATATAAACTCTTTGTCTTCTTAACAAGCCCATATGGTGTTTTTTATGTATACGCACTGAAATAAACAGTCAAGACCATGACTGAGTGTTTCCACCATAAAAGTGCAGTTTACTGACGACAGTCTCAAAAACACAGATTCAGACTTTGGGGCTTTCATATGTAACAAACCTAAAGAGCCAATCCTGCACGTTGGGACTTTCTGCATCATTCTTCTTCTTCAGATTCAGTTTCCGGTTCCAACCATAGACTGTATAAAAGATGGACGTAGCAACCGGCCCTGAAAAATGAAGCCAAGGGTCAAAAACCTGCAATATCACTACATCTGATAGCTGCTGGCTCCAAAAAGCCCTGGCTCCCATTGACATGAATTGGAAAAGAAGTGATCACAGATCACAAAATACCGCATTTCTCCAGTTCAGGATTTTTTTAAAATTAGTTTTCATGGTCAAGTCCAGAGATCAGGTGGCCAATCTGAAAATAAATCAATACTGAATTTTTAAAAAATCGTCAAAATTTTGCAGGGCAAGGGGCGTGGCTGGCTTGATTGACAGTCGGCAGTGACCATACAGATGAAGCGAGCATAAGGTGGTAGATGTGGGCGGGCAGAGAGGGCCCGCCTCTCAATCCATCTGACCAATCGCTGCTCCTATGGCGCCGCCCCCCTCCGACGATTTTTGCGTCACTGGCTCCAAAAATTCAGGATGTCAACCAGGAAGTAGCAAAACCCTGGCTTCATTTTCTCAACGGGTGACGTCATGGTAGCTACGTCCATCTTTTATACAGTCTATGGTTCCAACACGTGTGACTGATTTACTCAAATATTGCAACTTACCATTGTGTAGCGTAGATCAGCATTTCAGCAGAGCTGCAGGTGAGCTGGTGTGCTCGAGTTAGCGTGGAGGGGTGAGTGCAGAGAGAGGTGGAGACTTCACAGATCTGCACATTCTTGAGGAAGCAACAGTAACATGTTAGCCGTAGTCAGACGGGAAGAAAAAGAGCTTCGAAATATGTAACTCTAACAGACAGGAGGTGAGTTTTTTTGGGGGGGTTTAATGAATAACCGGAGGGGAACTTCAAAGAAACAGCCACACAAATGCACCGCAGAGAAGCCAGCAGTAAAGATGTAAGAGATATAAAAGATTATAATTGAACATCAGCTAATTAAATTACAGCTATGTTGCTTTGTTCTCTCTCTGACTATTTGTTAACTGCAATATTGTATTTTCCTGTGCATTAAATACAAAAATGTGTGAATGCAGATGATTTATAAACGCATCCTTTAACGGGCCTGTGCTAAGTAACCAAAGCAGAATTAAAATAACTAGCCTAATATCCTTTCCTGTTATGCCGCCTAATTGTGATGCATTTGGGGATTGCATGTGTAATGAGGTGATCACATTTCCAAGCAGCTTGCCCAACACCGCTGAGGAATAATCTTTTGTATTATTTGTTGCAGATTGACTTTTCTTTCTTTCTTTCTTCCTCACTGCGCGCCGTGTCGCATTGTCCACGACTGACTCCCGTCTTCTAAAGGCATCACAGTTCATTCACTTTGCAGAATGTCGCACACCTTCTACCCGTGTAACGCACTGCAGGCTCAATTTCCCTTTGAAATCGTACTAATCTGCTACAGATTGTCCTCATGTTGCTGGGAGAAGTTTAGGAAACAGGCACGGACCGGCTTGCAGGGTGAGTTGCCTCTCCTTTTCCTGTGACTAATGTCTTAAGCTGTGGGTTCGCTGCAACTTGAAACTGGATAGAGATCAGGAAAAGATACAGATGATTTGTAGCGCGCCTGCAGCAATGGAGCACCCAGGTATCTGTTTCTCCCAACCACCCAATCGGTGTAGAATCTGAATCCTGAGGCAGAGTTTAACTGTAAGAGAGATTAGAATAATTCAATATCCATCTT